GCAGTCCAGACCTGTCACTACTGATAACATTTGGCACATTATGAAGTTTAAAATAATGACAAGAGACTAAACTGTTGAGCAAAAATCCTATATCAAGCAAGAATGTGTCTCCTCAGTTCCCAAACGCTAACGCTAGAGGGTTGTTAAAAGAAGAGTTGATGAAACACAGTGGTAAACATGCCCCTGCCTCAACTTTTGCTGGCATCAAATTCAAAATGGGCATATATTAAAACAGTTAAATTTCTCAGTTTCAACATCTGATTTGTTGTCTTTGTACTATTTTCAATGAAATATGGCTTTAAGTGATTTGCACATCATTGCATTTTGTTTTCATTTACATTTTGCACAGCGTCCCAACGTTTTTATAAATGGGGTTGTAAATAAGAAAGTAAATATTATCATACTTTCTGCTTCTGGGAGGCACAGCAGTGCATTCTGGAGGATTCTTTTATATACCATCATATGCAAAAGTTTAAAATCGTCAAATTCCTGGTTTTGTTCTCTAAGTGTAAATAACTGAACAGATCCTCTAAAGAGAAAACATTTCTGCACTTTTCAATACACAGTTACTGTTTTTTGGCCCACTGAACATACTGTGGAAAAATTAAAACAAAAAATGTGGCCTGTGCAAAAGGTATGGCACATTTTATTTATTTGTTTTTTCCAGTATGATAAACTCAGCAAATTAAATAGAATTGGATGAAAATGCCATATTTAAGTTATATTATGATGGATGTGTTCACTAAGTTTCACTTAGAAGAACAACTAAACATATAATTTGACTGTGGTGTTCAAACCTTTGCATAGCACTATATACAAGTATCTCTAGGTGATAATAATATGCCCCATATGTATAATATATATACTCTCACCGAGCACTTCATTAGGAACACCTGTGCTCCTACTGATTCACGCAATTATCTAATCAGACAATCATATGACAGCAGTGCTGCGTATACAATAATGCAGATACGGACAGCAGCAGGTAATGTTCACATCATCCATCAGAAGGGGGGAAATATGTGATCTCAGATTTTGACCATGACATGATTGTTGGTGCCAGACGGGTTGGTTTGAGTATTTCTGTAACTGCTGATCTCCTGGGATTTTCACACACAACAGTCTCTAGACAGAATGGTGAAACAAAGAAAAACCATCTAGTGAGTGGCAGTTCAACGGACAGCAATGTCTTGTTGATGAGAGAGGTCAGCAGAGAATGGCCAGACTGGTTTGAGCTGACAGAAAGGCTACAGTAACTCAGATAACCACATTGTTCAAATGTGGTGAACCAAAAAACATTTCAGAATGCACAGCACGTCAAACCTTAAGGCGGATGGGCTACAACAGCAGAAGACCACATCGTGTTCCACTTCTCTCAGCCAAGAACAGAAAGCTGAGGCTGCAGTGGGCACAGACTCACCAAGACTGGACAGTTGAAGATGGGACAAACGTTGCTTAGTCTGCTGAATCTTCATTTCTGCTGAGGCACACAGATGGTAAGCTCAGAATTTGGCACCGACAGCATGAAACCATGAACAGTCCAGGCTGATGGAGGTGGTGTAATGGTGAGGAGAATGTTTTCTTGGCACACTTTGGGTCTGTTAATATGCATTAATCATTGCTTGAATGCTGCAGACTTGAGTATTGTTGCTGACCATGTACGTCCCTTCATGGCCACAATTTACCATCTTCTAATGGCTACTTCCAGCATGATAATGCACCATGTCAGAAAGCAAAAGTCATCTTCGACTGATCTCATGAACATGACAGTAAGTTCAGTGTTCTTCAGTGGCCTTCACAGTCACTGGATCTGAATCCAATAGAACACCTTTGGGATGTGATAGAACCAGAGAAAGTGCACCTGAAATATCTGCAGGAGCTGCATGATGCAATCATGTCAACATGGACCAGAATCTCAAATGAGAACAAAGGGAGGCCCGACCTAGTATTAGTATAGTGTTCCTAATAAAGTGCTCAGCGATTATATGTAAGTATCTATATATGTGTGTTATATTTTGAGGACCCATATGTAATAAGCGTTTAATAAGCCTAATCCTAAACCTCATGACCTCTGGGTTAAACACACTCACAGCATTACACTCATGCACTATTTGCACTCATGTGTCACTGAAACATTACAAAAACACAGTACTTGTTTTTAAATGTCCACAATGTCCACCCCACTCAGGTGATCAGTTCACCCTCTCGTGGACAGTGGCTGCTACTGCACTCCTGTCTGAGCGCATGTCTGTTAGATGGTAATGACGAAGAGGATATTAATAAATGTCCCACTGATAACTCAGGGAAATGGACACTGCAGTACTATCATTGTGTCTGCTGAGGTCAGAACAGGCTCGTTTTCAAACATCGCTGGTGTTTCATTCATGCATTCACACTTATTTGGTCACAGTTGTTATGTCACTCATTCTTCCATGAGGGGATACTCATATAAAGAGATGGTCTGAATCAGTAGGTGGCAGATGTGGCTGTGAACGTCAGCAGTAGAGTCAATGGGGCATTCCACAAGTTTTTCAAAAATTCTGCATATGTAAATCACTGAGGTTTAAACAGTTTTTCCGAGTGGTTTTGTTGTAGAGGAACCTGCCGACTCAGAGTTTTTTTTTTACAGTGGTGGTGATAGGAACCAGAGGTCACCATGACTACAACACAAATATAGCCATTTTATTTACTATCCAAAACCACCAGTGAACCAACACGAGTCTTCTGAGTTTTTATATGGAATGTTGATGATAGAAAAAAGTGGAAAATCTGAACAATAAATTTTCTTTGAAGACTATTTTGCCTTATAACCCCCTGCATGTATCTCTTCATCATGAATGGATTTTACCCTAAAACTGTCTTATTTAACAGGCAGCCTTTTACATGTTACAACTTTCTGTGAAGCATTAAAATCTCCAGACGTCTGGTTCCTATCACCATCACTATGAACAGTTCTGACTCTGTAAATGCTCTAAAACAGTGCACTTTGTATCAGACCACCCTAAATTTTGAAAAATTGATGGGATTCCCCTTAATTGTGTCAACTAGAGGTAGTGTAATAAAATTACCAAACAGTAACTGACTGGAACTACAGCTTAAAGGGTGTGTTTTATGGTATACCATATTTACGGTAACATCCTATGAGAGTCTGATAATGTTGCGGTGGTGCTGGGGCGTGTGTGTGTGTGTGTGTGTGTGTGTGTGTGTGTGTGGGTGGGTGCATGTTTCACTTTAATGAGGTCATAGATAGCATCTGAAGTTCCGCTCCATGTAACACGTTTCTGTACAGCTCCAGCTCATCTGATTAAACTGTAATAATTTCATTTTGTCATTATAATAAACCCTTGCTGGATCATATGTATTCAGATAATAGTGTCCCTACAATACACAGTGTTATGCGCCGTCGGCATGAGTGTCAAAATGTATTCAATGATAAATGATGACTGATGTGGATGGTTATGATGACAGTAATGTTGATACTTATTCCTAATTTGGTTGCAGAACAACACAAACCTAAAGGGCAGTTTTATCTGTTTGTGAGTTTTTCTGTTTTTTTTTCTTCATCTGCACAGTGATCAATCTAATCTCCCGCTACTGTTGCTTTTCCCATGACCCTCACTGTTGTGGGCAGGGCTCCTTCTCCAGGTTCTTCTCATGTGAAAGGTGCCAGGTTATGAGCTACAACCTACCTTGTACATTCACTAGCCATTTTATCAGAAACACTCACAATATGAAAAAAGTGCTCAAATTTACTTGACTTAAACAATTAAATCATATAAATGCAATGCAGCACTTTTTCAGTGCAGTTACTGACACTAGCCCATGTGTTGCTATACGCACCCTGCATGGCAGTAGTGTGGTAGTGTGGTACGAGTGTATGAAGCGCAGCAGTGTTACTGTTATTTTTAAAAGCCGAATATATGTTTGCAGAGGATCTGATCCTGGATCAGTCTGTGTGGCTGCCCTTAATTCAGAATGAGCAGCTTAAGTCCATCCCACTCAGTGAAAACTCAATGCACAAATACAGGGCTGTTTTTAGTAAACCCCTCTCCATGCTTTACATGTTAAAGATTAAGCTCCTTTTGTTTCTATGAGGCTCACTAATAGGATCTAAACTAGACTATAACAGGCCAAATAGAACATACTGAGCAACACATGCAAAGCCACTAACCTCAGCCCTTCACCTGAATTTGAGAAAAGATTTATTATCAGTGTGGTTATCTACACATCTGCAACCTTCATCAACCAAGAGTGAGCAAAAGTGTCACACCTGAAAACACACATACACACACACACACACACATACACAGAGTGGTCCTCTATACAAAACACTTTCGTTCTTCCGGCTGTGGATAGTAAACTCCTGCAACACAGTTAGTGCTCTGAACTCATATGCTGCGCAACAGCTCTCAGTAAAGCTGGACTCAGAGTCAACCTAGCGCTATAATCCTTCTCAAACTTTCCTAAACTTTTCTAGCCATTTCCAAACATTTCCCTAACCATTCCCAAACTTGTCTCTACTCCTCTGTTTATCAACCCAGTCCTCAGCACTGATCTAGACAGTCCACATTTTTCTTTTGTCCCTAAGTGTTGTAAGTTGGGTTGAAGCAAAAATGTGAACGTGGTGGATCCTGAGGACCAGGTTGGGAAGCACTGCTCTAACCAAAACTGTTATCTAAACATTCCCAGACCTTAGACCTTTCCTTAACCATTCTCAAACCTCCCCATAGCCATTCCTAAACCGCTTTGTCATTCCCAAACTTTTACCCAATATTCACAAACCTTTCTCTAACCATTCCCAAACTTGTCCCCAGTTATTTCCAAACTTTTCCCTAACCATTCCCAAACATCTCTCCATGAAACGGTTATGCTAAACACAACATTGTGCATCATCCTTATCTCAGATCTACTCGGTTTCTGTGGTTCTGCTGATGTGTCTGTGCTCACCGTGATCAGCGTCTGCAGTGCTGCTGTCTTACTCTTAATACTGAGACAATGGAAATGGTTCATTTGCATCACTTTATTGTGTAATATGAATCCACAGCATTAAAAAAGCATTGATAATATTCAAAGCAAGCAATACATGCACTGTTAAAAAATAATGTGAATATAGGAGCGTATCAACTTTCCAGGCATTCTCTGTTGTGCATTTCTTTATGTGAAAGCTTCAGCTCAGCAATCTGGTCTTCAATTAAGACTCTAGGAAACCTTCTTGCTTGCAGAGTTTGGCCTTACGTGTTGTAACCCTGAAAGACACAGATAACACAGTCAGTCACTGCTGTGGAGGCTTAGAACTGACCTCATTTACCTTTCAGTCAAGAGAGTCTCATCTATATATTCAATAGCGAATCGGATGTAAAATGTATTTCTAGCACCAGATTAAACAGTAACTCTCATGTATGTATCTTCTAAAGGTAGATACTCACACATAGCCTGGCTTTGGGCACTCAGATGGTGTTTTTTCAACTTTTACGATTAGTTTGGGTGGAATTTTAGCCTTGAAGAAGCTGAAACAGCACTGAACAGGATGACCTGTGGAATCTGTGCCATAAGCTGAGAAGGAAGAGCAGAAAATAGTTTTGGCTTATATTTTTAATTACTGTGAAAACCAACCTGCTTTTATCATCTCGGCTAACCACAAACGTAAGTGTTTAAGAGAAACTGGGGAGAGTAAAATGATGATGTATTTTCTAATACTATACACCTTAATCATCTTTGTTATTATTATTATTTTTATTGTATAACTAGTTATTATTAGCAGTTATTATCAATAACATAGTTACTTATTATTGGGATATATGTGTTATTCTGTTCCTGCGTCTGCGTGTAAAGCTACAAAAATGTTAGAAACTCACTGCCAGCGTCTGAGGAGACGGTCATCAGCAGGACCAGCCCCAGCACCAAACACACACAGCTCATCTTCATCTCCATCTTCTCTGCAGGTTCTGTTTCTCTGGTGCTATCTCAAGTTTGATCTGGTAATGCTCAGCCTCTCTTTCTTTTTAAATTCACTTTAGCCCGAAATCTGCATTTAAGAATAGGTGGCTCTGACCCCTCCCCTCACCCCATTCACCCACTTCCTTTCAGAGCGCAGAGCAGAAACTTTAGTGTGAAGATGAGCCATGATAAGACGTCTAATGTGTGAATGCAGTGCATGAGTCATCACAGTTACTGGAAACCTGCAAATCATTCTGTTCTTTTTCTACTAACTAATAAATGCATTGCTCTCTAAATTCAGTAAATTAACCGATATGATTAACCAATTAACTGCTTTAATTAACCCAATTAACTGCTTTGAAACCCCATCAAAACTCATACATGTGTTTAAGGGTTTTCTTTTTTACCACATGGAACATGCTTTCCTATCTATTTGGGTTCCTGCCCCTATGACCTAAGACTGTACAAGTGCCCTCTTGGCTGGTGTGTATATTTTACACTTTTCAAGATCCATTTCAGCAGGTCGATGCTCATCTTGGCTTGGGTACTTTGACATTCAACGCTCTTGGGTGCACCCTCTGGTGCAGAACCACCACAAGTCGTTCTCCTCTCAGTGACTCCGACCTGTCACGCATCCCCACAGCACAGGAAATCCAACCAATGACATGCTGATAATGGCTTTAAGAAAATGTCACGTTCCATAATGTTATTTTGAATAACAACTAAACTTAAAATTGGCATTAAGAAGTGTAAAGAGGTGTTTAACTGTCTGCACCAAGTTTCCTTTATTGTAAAACACTTATAAGAGCAGGTTTTTCACAAAAACTTTCCTAAAAAAAAACAAACAAACAAAAAAAAAAACATGAAAAATCCTAGGACAAACACTACAGAATTATTGGTAATTTCTTCATAAAGATTCTGACTTTCATTAATACATTCTTAGGTAAAAACAGAATCTACATACACTCAAGAGCACAAATATATGAACATACTAAAACACAGAAAGATATTGGTGAACAAGGCCAAAATTTTATCTTACGAAAGTTTTATTTATTTTCTTAAGAAAATCTTAATTTTTTGTATATAGGTTATATGTTATCACATATATTATGTATCAATATATGTTACATAATAATATATATATTATTACAGAATAACAGAAACTATAGTATATTTCTATTACAAATCTGTGCCGGAGGACAGTAAAATGAAGGTAAAGCAAAATCTAACCAAACATTAAAAAAAAATTAAACAAAAACTTGAAGTGATGGTGGAAGAAACAGTCAACAGGAAAAATCCTCTTTGGTTTATTTTAACCATAGTAATATGTGTAAGGAACCAGACCCAGGCTGGGCCATCTGTGGTTACCCGGCCAGCCACCTGAGGGAGAAAGAGTTGCCATACGGTAATCCAAGGCTAATTTGTGACACCTGTGTCCACCCTTCAGAAATCAAGCTCACCCATAGTCCTGTGCAGTCTTGGTGTTTCAGAGTTGTGGCAGCAGACTGGCTGGTCATTTTGGTAGACAATCCTTGAGTTTACTCTCAGGTCTCCTTTTTAAGTTACCTGTCTCTCAAGCATTCTGTGCTCCACCCCTGTTTGTTTTAGTTGATAATAAGGTTTAAGAAACAAACTGTCTGTGTTTTTTCTCAGTTTCGCGAGGCCTTCAGCATTTATTCCCTGACATTATCCCTGAGTTATCCTTATCTAAGTTTCCTTCACAAAAATGAAAAATAACCTGCTAGTTATATTATCCTCAATCGTCTACCTTCCTGAGACTCCTGTTTTTGTTTTCAGTCTTTTGTTTTTTATTTAAGTGTTTTGTTTTGTTGTAGAAACCCCATGTCCGGTTGCCCCTGAACCCTCTCTCCGAGCTGAACTCCAGCTACCTGCTCTCAAGACGTACATGTAGATCCAGGGCATTGCAGGAGGTTTGTCCCAATGCTTCAGTGCTTTAAACAGCAGCCCTCCTGATTCCTTACTGAAAGGGCTAAGGTGGCCTGTGTCTTCTCATTGCTCATGGGTCGGGCCCTCGATCAGTTCACTCCTCTATGTAAGGCAGAAATTCTAACTGTGGGAAATGGCTGGAATTAAAAGGCCCTGACGTCTGCCTTCTGGCAAGGTCTAAGTGAAGACCTCAAGGATGAGCTGGCCCCACAGGAACCTGCTTCCACATTCAAGGATTTCATTAAGGTGGCTCTCAAGCTTGATAATCAGCAGCAAGAGCCCCATAAGGAGCAGGAGGCTGCTCTGCCACTCTCACAGCGTCAGGCCACAGTAGTTGTTCTCTGCTTCTAGTGCAGGCCCATGAATTGCAATTAATCCTTGGGTTCCCATGGTTGCAATAAAACTGCTACCTCCTGTCCCTCAAGTCTTCAGCCTTTGAGGCACTGCAGCAGGCTTCGGTGTTCCTATAACTTCATTCGTATACGACATGGGGGGACAAATAGAAGACGGCTTTCATCACTCTGTCAGGCCACTAAAAATACTTGGTGACGTCATTTAGGCTCATGAAAGCTTCAGCCATCTTCTAATATTCCATAAATGAGGTCGTGCAGGAGGCGCTGCACCGCTCTGTGTTTGTTTACTTGGATGACACCCTGATTTACAGTCAGACAGTAGACGAACACACAGTCCACACATAGTCCAGGTGGGTTCTCCAGCTTCTCCTGTGGAATCACCTGTACGTTAGACCAGCAAAATCCCTCTTCCATGCACAGTTGGTTTCTTTCCTTGGCTTTGTCGTTTCTATAGGGTGGCTGAGTATGGACCCAGCCAAGCTCAAAACCAGTCCTGCAACTTCCTGACCCCAGGCTCCCATTCATTGTAGATGCCTCGGATGTGGGTGTGGGAGCTGTACTTTCCCAACATTCCACTTCTGACAACAAGCTTCACCCATGTTGTTTCTATTCCCACCACCTAACTCCAGCTGAGCGTAATTACACTGTAGGAAACTGGGAGCTCCTGGCAAGTTAGCACTGTAGACACTATGTCCCCACCCGAAGGCCCTAGCCCCACAATAGGGACACATCTCAACTTTCCCTGGACACCCATTAGTGACTTGCACACTGGAATTTTTTAAACAGCCGTTTTTGGTGGCCCAAGATGGACCACAATGTTCTGGAGTATGTAGGTGCCTGCCAGGGCTGCACCCAGAACAAAGAGTCCAGGATGAGACCAGCAGGTTTGCCCAATCTCCTGTCTGTCCATTCACACCCATGGTCCCATCTCTCCTTGGACTTTGTTACAGGATTGCCTGCTTGCCAGGGCAACACAGTGGTCCTTCTTGTGATTGACAGGTTCTCAAAGGCCTGTAAATTCACAGCCTTGCCCAAGTTCCCATCAGTCAAGGAGAAAAAAATCACTGTCTGTGAACACAGTTCGCTGTGCAATCCACAAATGCAAGTTAAAGCTGTATCATGCAAAGAAGAAGCCATATGTCAACACGACCCAGAAACGCTGCCAACTTCTCTGGGTCAAAGCTCATTTAAAATGGACTGAGGCAAAATGGAAAAATCAGTGCACAGTTCAAAAGCCTGCATCTCTGATGGTTTGGGGATGCATTAGTGCCTATGGCATGGGCAGCTTACACATCTGGAAAGGCTCTATCAGTGCTAAACAGTATATAGAGGTTTTAGAACGACATATGCTCCCATCCAGACAGCGTCTCTTTCAGGGAAGGCCTTGCATATTTAAGCAAGTCAACACTAAACCACATACCGCATCCATCACAACAGCATGGCTTTGCAGAAGAAGATTCCGGTGCTGACTGACCTGCCTGCAGTCCAGACCACAGAAAACATCTGGTACATCATGAAATGAAAAATCCGGCAAAGAAGACCCAGCAGCTAAAATCCTACATCACACAAGAATGGGACAACATTCCTCTCCCAAAACTCCAGTAGTTGGTCTCCTCACTTCCCAGACGTTTACAGACTGTTGTTAAAAGAGGAGGGGATGCTACACAATGGCAGACACGGCCCTGTCCCAACTTTTTTAAAATGCATTGCTGCCAACAGGTTCTAAATGAGTTAATGTTTTTCATGAAATGGTAAAATGTCTCACTTTCAACATCTGATATGTGTTCTATGTTCTATTGTGAATAAAATATTGGTCTATGAGATTTACAAATCATTGCTTTCTGTTTTTTTATTTACATTCATGTAGATTTTACACAGCGTCCCAACTTTTTTTTAAATTGAGGTTGTCGTAACTCTACCTAGTAAAAACATAAATGAATAACATGCATTTTATTATGCATTGTGTTATTTCATTTTAATCCACAGCATTAATCAAGCTTTGATATAATACTGAACTGAAGGGATACAATTGATATCAATCGTGTTATAAGTTGTCAAGCTTGTCAAAACTTTTTAACTGCTTTTCAGACGCTTTTACACTGCATGGTTCCGGCTCAACTCGACTCAGCTTTTTTTTGTTTTCTATTAGACAAATCTCAAATTCTCCTTACCTCATAACTTGTACTGGGTACTATTTTTGATATCACCTCTGTCGAGGTTCCAGGCAAGCTAAGCCAATATCAAAAGGTAACATAAAAATGCTGCAGACTACGACTGGCCACAGAGAATCATCACTATCACCCATAAACGCATATGCTAATGTTAGCTACCAGGTTAGCATAGCCTCTTGCATCGCCTTTTGAGCAATCAGAATTGTCTGAACTCTGATGTAGTATTTCCCAAACTCTCCTGTTTTTTTTTTTTCAGAAGTATTGTGTCTTGCTGCCATTAGCCTCTTCTGAATAAAATGTGTCTCCTTCACATCACAGCAGTTTCGTGCAGCATCACTACGATGACCAGCTACAATAAAAGAATTCTATAAATGAGGTAGCTGGTACCAAAAGCGAGTCGAGTCGTGCCATACCATGCAGTGGAAAAGCAGCTTTTGTGTTGTGTCTGGGTCTTGTACTTTTGTTGCACCTTGTTCCTGGAGGAATGTAATTTCGCTCCACTGTGTACTTGTACATAGATGGAATGACAATAAAAGCCTCCTGACTCTTGCCTTGACTTGTGCAGAAGCTGTAGAACTGAAAAGGTGTTCTGAAAGAAGCTCTACATGA